CCCAGGATCCTAGTGCAACATTCAAACCACTACACCATAATGGTTCTACACACAAATGCAATGCTTGTTTTCTCTTTCCAAGTCCAAAATTAGGTTTGAACCTTTACAATCTAGTGTAAATGTGATCTATATACCAACCTTGATTTTCCATGAATTAGTACTTATGTTATTGCCATGGCTAAGCCGAAGCTTAATGAAGGCTTTGAGTAAAAAGCTCTAGCAGACCATGATCAGGACTTGGGAATATTTCAGTACCCCCCATAATGTTCAGCCAGTATATTCAAGAGTCTATCCAAATGACCATGCTGACTAGAAGCTGTGGTCCAAAAATATCAATGTTTCCAACTTCTGGACAGTTCTATCCATAAATAGAATTGTTATCTTATGCAGGGATCTAAACAATTTAACTTTTGTGCAAATTAATTCCATAAAAGTCACAAACTGTGAAAATAGTTGGAAGATGTTCAAAAACTATTTTTAACCCTTTAATGTTTATGACTGGGGTCTGATAAGAGGCTGAATCCATCAGCATATTTAATGATGCAATGCTTGGTGGACTTTCTAATTTCAGCCAACAGGGCAAAAATCTGAAATTATTACCCCTTGTGTGCAAGAATGAAATAAGACATCAATTTACATCCTGTTCATTTTCTATCTGCAGTTTCAAAATCTATGTATGTTTCTTTGTATGCCTTGTTTCTCTGGAATGTATTTTCATGGATGTATGATTTTCTCAACAAGTCTTCAGAAATTCAGAATGAATACTTTCATTGAAAGTCTTGACACCAATTACATTCTTCTGTAGTGCGATCCATTAAAATCCTTTTCAACAATTCATTGGAATAATGGCCAGAAATACCTGGTATGCCATATCATTATGAGACCCTTCAATTCAGCATTTGTGAACTCCTGATGTATCCATTTATTATTAACACATTTTGAGTACTCCTATACTCTCAAACAGGGATGCACTTCTTTACGAAGTTTCTTTTAGAAGGTAGCAATAAGTAATTTCAGCAATATGTGGATTTATTTGTGGGATTTGGTTGGATTGTTTATTTGTTTTTGTTGGTTTATTATGGCATTGAATGTTTGCCACTCTTTTGTTGGAAACCATCCTGAGTGCCCTCAGGGAGATAAATGTGGGATGTAAACAAAGTTGTGTTGTTGTTGTTGTTGTTGTTGTTGTTATATTCTTGCTGCGAGGAAGTCTTCAGAAACCATGCACTTCAAAACTTTGAGTTATTTTGTAAAAAAAAAAAACCAAAAAACCACCTGTCTGAATTTTCTGCACAGGAAACACATTTGTTAAATGTGAGAAATAACATTTTAATACAAAAATACTAATTTATGTAAATTTCTAAAACCTTAATTTCTGAGCAGAATATCATGTAATTTGGGATTTCTTCTGTCTAAAATGTATCTATAGTTTATTGACACATTAAGTAGCACTTTCTGCTCAGAAAACAGCATTTTCTGTGCAGAAATTAATATTTGTGCATTGAAATTTATTTTTAACACAGAAAAGGCTGATTTCTGTCCTGTCCCCAACAATGAAGATTTTCATCAGTCCAAGATTCTTCTAATCACAATTTTTCAACACGTTTTTATGACAATTTTTCAAATATTTTTAAATTATTCTTTCCATTTCTCTCCTCAAACAAGTAAAATGTTCAATTTTTTTCATGCATGTGTAGATGTAAGTGGTGGTTATGCTACTCCCTTCTTCTGGTTAACAGCAATGGGGAACAAGCAGTGGCTGCCTCCAAAATCCAAGGTAGTCAAGTGATATATTGTAGAGACTACAAAGTAGTTATGCACCATCCAGGAATGTGTAACTGTTACATCTGGCAAACAACAACCGTGGAATCCTGAGCTGAATTTGCACAATGGCCCAAAAAGTTCAACTGCAGGTATAAAGAATTTTGAATGCATATGATACCAATTCTGGCAAATATTTGTACCTAATGCTTTCCTAAGACTAATACCCAACAAATCAACAGAACAGCTAAAGAATTTTGCATTTTGCTCATCAGAAGTACATCAAGTTTGCTAAACTTCTGTTACATTAGAAAATCAAGAAAATAACTTCTTGATCTAGGAGATATTACATCACACGATTCACTATTTCTTTCTAATTTCCTTGCACCTTTTTGTATTTATTGGTCAATATCTGTATCTGTGCTCATCGTTAATATCAGGACTAGCAACAAGAAAGTAATTATGTGGTAATAAACATAGCTTATGAGCAAATCGTTCTTAGTAGAAAACCATATTCCATAATATCAAACGGGATTTCAAAGAAATCTGCAAATACATAATTCCAGTGACCATGGGTGGGAAAGATGGCTTATTTTAATAGGTTTCTTCATTGCACATTTATTCATTTAGGAGGCTTCATCCTCTGATAGTATGTTGTGGTTGTTTTCAGTTTGGTGCAATGCAGAGAGAAAAATATTGCTTTGACATATTTATTCGGCAAGGGTTATACATCCAAAAGTGTTTCACTGTATGTCTGTGTATTTTACAGTCTGGGGCAGAAGGAAATCCATTCTTTGGACAGCTTTATTCTTTTAACATTTACTCATATAAGGAGTGCTTCAGTCTACAAGGCCATTGACAAAAAATCCCCGGAAAGATGCTAGTTTCCGGCTAAGTAACAAACAAGGCCATCAGATATTTCAAAAAGAGCCTGTTCTAAATCAGTGGAAATGAAAGATGAATAAATAAGGTACAAGCTTTGTTTAAACCAAGGAGATAGGCAATTTTTTCAAGAACTTGGGAGTAAACTGTATGCTCTGATTTGTAATGTATTTTGCTACACATTCATGATCAGCCAAAGGAGTACTAAAGGAACTTGGTGTTGGCCCTAACAAAATTTTCATCAGATGCAGCCTGAATAACATGAAAGCATTTGATCCCAGCACTCAATCGCAGCACTGGTTAGTAATTCAATGAGAGATTGCCAAGGAATGCCAGGCTGTAGACTATGTGTCAGAGTAAGGCAACTGGAAACCATCTCTTTGAATGTTTCTTGCTCAAAAAACATATGAAATGTATGTGTTTTTGAACTTTCCATACATTGACAAGCATCTTGTAGGCACATACAAACTTACATAGCTTGATTGTACCATAAACATAGATGGTATTACTTAAACTGGGGGTTTCTGGATGATTACAAATTGAGTATTTCTCATTCAAAATGCTTGGGACCAGTACTGTTTTGGATTTATATATTTTTCAGATTTTTGGAATGCCTATGTTTGCATACATGTACCTAATTAAATATCTTACAGATAAGATTAAGTATGAAGTTCATTTACCATATATAGTCATGCATATGTCAACTTCTTATATAAGTCTGCCAGGTTTTGGGAACAAAAACTATGGATTTTGATATGAATGAAGGAATGAAGGATAAACTGGAGTCCATTCCATGTCAGTACTTCTTCAGGAATATTAAATAAATTGGTTCCTGACTATAGCCAAAACAATATTTACCCCCAAACACAAAGATATACAATATCAATGATGAATAAACAGTATAGACCAGTATTAAGTGAAATACAATTAGTGAAGAATTTACAATTACAATGGTATTGCTCTGTTCATCCGAATAATTTCTTATTTAAACAATGTGTATTCTATGCATAAACTTGCAGCTGGTAAAATCAATATGTAGAACCAACAAGCATGAAGACCACAACTGGTTTGGACTCTAGGTCTTCCTCAGGTGAATTTATCTGTGAATATTATATCGAATTAACTTAAGAGTATATCAATATCCACATACATATAGTTATAAATATAATCCAAATACAATTTTACATTTTCATGAAAAACATTTTACATCCCTTTCAAAAGTTTGTATTCATGTATCCTTTTTTCAATGGAGGGTTCTAAACAAAAGGAACAAACAAACATAACAAATTGACCATGTAATGGTTTGAATTTAATAAGTTTATATACATATCCACATACTCACAGAGTCTAATTTCATGTGCTCCTATGATATTCTGCTGTTTGTTCTTATTGCAAGTATAGAGTATTCTTTGGGATTACCACTAATATTACCACATTGCTTGAAGGAAATTTGTACACTATTTTGATAATTTTGTTAGTGAAACAAAGTTTGTGTACATTGAAACATCAGAAAGCAAAGATGTTGTCATCCCAGTCACTTATGTGGACCATTTTGGATTTTGGAAGATTTAGGATTTCTGAATGTTAAACCAGTATATCCAGTTCCTGGCAAGCCAACCAAAGCTCATTCTGTTTCACAGAATAATTGAATCATGGAATCTTAGAGTTGGAAGAGACCATGTAGGCTATCTAGTCTAACCCTCTGCCATGCAGGAAAAGCCAATCAAATACCCCAGACAGATGGCCATCCAGCCTCTGTTTAAAAGTCTCCAAAGAAGAAAACTCCACCACACGCCGAGGCAGAGAGTTCCACTGGTGTACAGCTCTTACAGTCAGGAAGTTCTTCCTAATTTTCAAGTACAATATCCTTTCCTGTAATTTGAACACATTGCTCCGAGTTCTAGTCTTCAGGACAGCAGAAAACAAGACTTATCTAATGTTTTTGCCTGCTGTAGCCTCGTTTGGCTTGGTGGTCAATATTTTTGTAGGACTGTCATAGCTGTTGTCTGCCCAGTTTGGTATTCTCTCAAAAATTGATAAGTACCCAAGGGTAGCACCTTTTTATTTTTTAGAAGTAAACTGCACAAAAAACATGTCACATTTTCTTTATTCCATTCATTTTCTGTTTCCCTCTTTTGCATTGTTACTGTTACTGGCTTTAACAGTTAAGAGTCTACAACACACAGTTGGAAACTGAAGCAGGAATAACATCAGTCTGTCTGTCTTTGTTATTTTTGACCTGCTTTGCCCAGGGCCCATCAACTTCTTGACAAAGGATTTTCTTTGGGGAAAACTTCACTAACTTGGACATTCTCATTTTTCTCTCTCTGTCTCTGTCTTTTTCTTTCTGTTCACAGTTCCAAAGACAGCTCCTGCTAATGTAAGTGGCAGAAGTGGAAGACGGCATGAATTAGTAATAGCATGGGAGGTAAGGAATTCTTTTGATTAAAGTCCTTGTTTCATGTTGACTTTTTTGAGAACAAGCTATCGAGGTCTGCATTGAGGTTTCCCCATAGCAAGAATTGTCAGGAGAGGAATACAAAAGATCATTTCTTAAATGCTTGTTTAAAATCTTCCTGTAGGTCACAATTTAAAGTGAACAAAACATGCAGTCTGTTGAGAAACCTATGGTTAATGGCAGTATCTCAAATTAATTTTGTTTTTTTTCTACTGTATTCACAACATCCTTTAAATTTTCGCATCATCATTGATCCCAGGCAACCAAATATTCATCTTTGCTTCCAACATAAGTGCAAGTCAGTTTAAATAAGTGCAAGTCAGTTTGACTCGAGGCAACATGGTTGAGTGTTGGACTAAGATTCTAGGAGAGCGGGGATTGAATCCCACTCAGCCATAGGAACCTATTGGGTGACCTTATGCAAGTCACACTCTCTCACTCTCTCCTCTGAATAAATCTTGCCAAGACAAACCCTATTAGAGAGTCAGCATTTAATGCAGCTGCTTACTAACTAGCTGTGCCACAGCCCAAGAGGTCATGAGTTCGAAGCCACCCGGGTTGGAGTAAGCTTCCAAACATTAATAGTCTAGCTTGCTGTTGACCTATGCAACCCAAAAGACAGTTGCATATGTTAAGTAAGAAATGTAGGTACCGTTTTATGCAGAAAGGCTGGAAATCATTGTGCAAACGCTTGGTCCCACAACCAGGATTTAACTTTCTTCCTAAAGTTCAGGAGGGAGGGGGCTGATCTAATTTCCCTTGGGAGGGAGTTCCATAGCTGAGGGGCCACCACTGAGAAGGCCCTGTCTGCCATCCCCACCAGTCGCACCTGCAAGGGGGTGACATGCCACCTGTTCAAACCCACTCAATGGCATTCTGCTTGTCACACAATATAAGCTCAGAAAGCCATGTAATAGACTCATCTCAGAGTCAGAAATAACTTGAAGGCATGTAATAACAAACAAACAATGTGGTGAAACAAAAGGTTGTATTCTCAATAGTCTGACGCCATTCAAGAGAAATCAAAATCTCTTCTATTGCTAGTGCACAGGAATTCACTGAGTTCAGAAAATACTCTACAAAAGTGTTTCTCAAACTGTGCTCCTCCAGGTCTTTTGGACTTCAGTTCCCAGAAATTCTAGCCAGCTGACTAGCTGTTAGGAAATGTAGGAGCTGAAGTTCAAAACTTCTGGAGGAGCACGGTTTAAGAAGCTCTGCTCTACACTATAAGAAGCACATGTTTTATTCTTTTAATTTTTTCAGGTTTCTTTCTACTTTCTACTTTTATCTGATGTTTTTAGCTGTGAATGTCTGGAAGGGGGAAACACTTTTTTATGGGCACCAAAACATCCAATCTAAGGTTTTAATCATTATTTTTATGGCATATAAGAACTAAAACAGACTCCTTGACCCATTGCAAAACACTGAAAAATAAAAGAAACAATCTCTGGGGTGTTGTGTAGTTTCCAGGCTGTATGGCCATGTTCTAGTAACATTTTCTCCCTATGTTTCATCTGCATTTGTGGCTGGCATCTTTGGGCAAAACATCAAGCAAAAATGTTGCTAGAACATGGCCATACAGCCTGGAAACCACACACATCACCCCAGTGATTTCAGGTGTGAAAGCTTTCAATAATACAAAGATAATATCCATGGTTGTTTCTTGGACCTGAAGCTAGATGTAGTTTCTATCAACAAGAGTGTTACAATCTCTGATGCAAGTCAGGAAATACAGTAAAATGATCTCTTCTTCTATCTATTCACATCATACTGTATGTGGTAATATGAGGCATAAAATACTTTCATACTACATAATGATTAGACTAGGCTTCTGCTATAACTATGATTCCCTTTTAACAGGATTAGTATAGATTCATGGAAGTTATAATTTAGGGAGAGATTATTAGAATTCTCATTCAGAAGCAATAATCCCACACCAAACTAGAAACCTCAAGATTACATAGAATAGCGGTTAAACTGGAATAGTAGAACTATAAATGTGTTGTGACAAGGGGCTTTGATAGGGCCCCCTCTTGGTTCAAATCAAAGAGCCCTATAAACATGGAACTCATGCTCTCTACTCTGAGTTGTGGTTTAAAAGAAAATAGCAGAATAGAGTGGCCACATTGGGCTGCCTCTAATGTTGGGCCTTTTCCATCATCACCCCATCTGGTGTTGCTACTGCAGCATTCAAACCAGTCAGGCAGTCTTGGGGCCTCCTACACCATCACCCTTGGTTGCTGTGTTCTACTGGTGGCTATTCTGCCACCATTGTCATTGTCACCCTTGGAGGAGATGCTACGGCATACCATCACTCAGTGTTTGAACTTTTATTAGCAAGCCTTTCCCTTGCTCCCCCTCCCCAGAACAAATAGACTCGTCTGGGCCAAATAGACTGGACCAGCTGGATGCCTTTTTGGTAATCTTTCATCGGCCCATTGGGCATTCTGTAAGGACAATAAGGTGTAGAGTGGATTAGACTAATTTTCAGTGGAGGTCAGCTGTGTGTGACAATGTTTTGAGGGTCTTGAGCTGCAATTTATCAGGGTTTTGGCCATTTAAGCCACGGGACTGTAAGACCTGTAATCGTGCTTCAGTGCAATGTAAATTTGATATGTTTGATATGTTTTATTTAATATTTACAGTATTTATATACTGTATATTATTAATAAGTTTTACGCCTTGAGTTGCCTTTGGGCTTGAGAAAGGCAGGATATAAATATTGTAAATAAATAAATAAATAAATAAATAAATAAATGTAATCATTTGAAAAACTATTTTAATTGATATGTATGTGTTTTTTACAGTTTTATAATATGGTGTTTTATTGATATTGTTATTATCTGAATCAGACATTGAATTATTGTCATAGTTTGTAAGCCACCCTGAGTCCCCCTTCGGGGGTGAGAAGGGTGAGGTATAACTACAGTAAATAAATAAATAAAAAGATAATAGAGCAAATACTAATGGGGATGCAGCAGGGATGGTGGTGTTTTTAATTTTTCATTCCACTGTAATCCTAACCCCACTTGTTCCTGGCATCTGAAGCATAAAAGATGCTTCAGATACTGATAAATATTGAGTCTCGGTCAGCTCTCATTCCTTTCAGAAGCTTTTCCACTAATTCCGGTAGAAACTGACTTAATACTGCAGTAGCCTTTAAGAATTTCCCTGAAATAAGACACTGCCTGTTAGCAGTAGCCCTCTAACATGAGTGATATATAGACATCTAAATTTAAAAGGTTAAAAAATAATTACTGATATGCCAAGAATTAGGTGACTTTTTCAAAATGGAGCTTCCAGGAAACCTCACCACACTTCATCTTTTAAAAAGCAGAATGTAATTTTACATACAAACAAGGACACATGTTCTTCAAAAAAAGGAAGCGGGGAGGAGAAACAAAATAAGTGAAATGGCAGGGAGGTGTCCAGATATATATTTTGGTGGGAATTTTCCTCCATTCAAATGTATAGTAAGCCCACCTGCTGGCATTTGTGTTTAAGGAATTTCTGTTTATCTTTATAAGTAAAATAACGGGGAAGAAAGACTATATTTCTTCCAGGAATAAATTAAACTCTATAGATGTATTGGGTTTTGGTTATTTTGTTCCCATTTCAGTGCTTTTATAAAGTTCAATTTCCAATAAACACCTTGTCAGTTTCCTCTCTTTCATAAAGTGGGCAATCATATCAAGGTAGCCATCATCATGCAAAAGGATTACAGAGGACAGCAATTGGCATTAAATTTGTATATGCTATCTATCTACGTGCAAATTTAGAAATAATTACTATGCAATAGAAATGTAACATTCACCTTAGCAGGAAAACTGTATTGTAGGCCTGTGCAAATTGATAATTTCAGCATCTCTGTGCTTTTTATATTTTTAACTAGATAGTCTTATGAAAAGAAAACACAAAATGTAAGACTGCCCTATGTCAACCTTTCAGAGATTGACATAAGGCAGTCGTACATAAGGCAGAACTACATTCCTAGTTCCAACAGACCTCACTACCTCTGCGGATGCTTGCCATAGATGCAGGCGAAATGTCAGGAGAGAATGCATCTAGACCATGGCCATATAGCCCGAAAAACCTGCAACAACCCAGTCCTACATTTTGTCCTTGAATGAAAGACCTCCAGGTCACCCTATCATCAACCGCTCTCCTGAGGTCTTACAAATTCAGGGCTATTGCTTTCTTGATTGAGTCTATCCACCTGGAATGTGGTCTTCCTGTTTTCCTACTGACTTCTACTTTGCCAAGCATCATTGCCTTTTCATGTAGCCCATGGGCCACATAAATCACACCTCCAATTTTAATGCGTCTGCTTTGCTTATTACTTACAAATGGATTTAAAACATGCTAATGTAAATCCCTTAACAGGACGGTATCACTGTGTAAACAGAACAGCTACCAGAATATTCTTGCTGAAAAGAATAATTTAAAATACATTCAAACATTCAATGCAGGCTTGATTTTTGTTTCCAGGGCGGCATAATTGATCTAGGAAACTTATCCCCTTATAGCTTGCTGATGTTTTGATGACAAACATAGTCTTACTAACTGTATTATCGTTTGCTATTTTGTAAAATAAGAAGCTAACAACTCCCTTAAAAGCCACTGAATAAATAGATTTGGGTTTTCCACTTCTGTCACCATTACCATCACCATTATTATGTGCCTTCAAGTTGTTTCAAATGTATGATGACTCTAATATGGGATATTTTGGCATGGGTTGTTTAGGGGGAATTGCATTTGACTTTTCCTATGACTTGTCCAAGGACACCAACTGGGTTTTATGGCTGAGCTGCGATTTGAACTCTGACCTCCAGAGTTCTAGACCAATGCTCAAACCACTCCATCATGCTGGTTCTTATTTCCCCAACCCAGCTGAGACTCTAAGATAGAAAATGAGATTTGTAAGGATCTGCTAAGGAAGGATGTCAACAAAGGCATTCTAGTCTTGCTGGGAAGAAAGTTCCAGAGCTTAGGGACAATAACTGAGGGTACACCTACGCTGTAGCATTAACGCAGCCTGACACCTCTTTTACTACTATAGCTCAATGCTATGGAATGATGGGACTTCTACTTTTAAAAGACTTTAAGCCTTCTCTAGCCAAAAGTTCTGGTTCCTCACCAAACTATAATCCCTAGTAATGAACCATTGCAATTAAAGTGGTGTGAAACTGCATTAATTCTATAATGTTGATGCATCCTGAGAAAGCTCTGTTTCATCTTCTTGTCAGCTGTCTATGAAGGTTGTGGAAGTAAAAGGATGATTTCTTCTTAGGTTTTAAGGGAAGGGCAGGCTTGACTGAGAGATAAGGACTAAGCTTGTATTCAAGCCTATAGGCCTGTGCCCCAAATACATTCATTATAGTATTTTAACAGTGGAGAATTTTCATCCCTGGATTGTTTGTGTTTTAAAGCTTGCAAGCAGCTCTATACAGATTATATTTGACTTCAGTGAACCATAGCAAACCTAAAGGACAATAACTAAACCTGTCTTTCTTTAGCCAGTCTCTGAAGAGTTTCAGAATGGAGAAGGGTTTGGTTACATTGTGGCCTTCAGGCCAAATGGGACAAGAGGCTGGAAGGAAAAAATGGTCACCTCTTCAGATGCTTCCAAGTTCATCTACAGAGACGAGAGTGTGCCTCCCCTGACTCCATTTGAAGTGAAAGTGGGAGTTTACAACAACAAAGGCGATGGTCCATTCAGCCCTATTGTTGTTATTTGCTCTGCTGAAGGAGGTGAGTTTGTGTATCTTGCTAAACATGGCTCCAATCTCAAGCATGCTTCATTGGATATCAATAGGAAAGTAAAAAATGTTTGCCAGTTTTCTTCTTGGTGAGAAAAGGTGTAACAGCATGTTAAGATATCCCATTTAAAAATTAACAACTGATTTATTTTTCCATTTCTTGGTTTATTTAAAAAAAACACTGATTTTTTATGCCAATAATTGTATTATGACTAAAATCTATTTTAAAAGGTTTTGTACAAAAAAAGTGAAGTTATATTAGGGAAACAAATCTGCAACAAGTTTAATTAAAATGCCAAAATGCAAACAATTATTGGAAAGTGCACTAAAACAATTCTCTCAAACATCTTTCAGTGGGGAAAAAACATTTGGATTTTGTTGTGTTTGCATGTGAAAATGACTTGGCCACGGTGGTACACGCTCTGGTCACATCCCGCCTTGACTACTGCAACGCTCTCTACGTGGGGCTGCCCTTGAAGACGGCCCGGAAGCTTCAGCTAGTCCAGCGCGCGGCAGCCATGTTACTAACAGGAGCGGGACGCAGGGAGCACACAACGCCCTTGTTGTTCCAGCTCCACTGGCTGCCGATCTGCTACCGGGCCCAATTCAAGGTGCTGGTGTTGGCCTACAAAGCCCTAAACGGTTCCGGCCCAAAATACCTTTCTGACCGCATCTCGGCCTATGAGCCCACGAGGGCCTTGAGATCGTCTGGGGAGGCCCTTCTCTCGATCCCGCCTGCCTCACAGGCACGTCTGGCGGGGACGAGAGATAGGGCCTTCTCGGTGGTGGCCCCCCGGCTGTGGAACACCCTCCCTGTAGACATCAGACAGGCGCCCTCCCTTATGTCATTCCGCAAGAGCCTAAAGACATGGTTATTTGAGAAGGCGTTTAACTAAGTGCTACAACAATTGGCAATGACGACTGGAACGGAATACGGATTACGAGATTGGTTTATGATTCTACGATGAGACGGAGCGGATGATCTAGTGTAATTATATTATTGTGGTATTATTGATAGTTATGTTGATATTTTGTTGTGTTATTGCTTTATTGTAAACTGTTTTTATATGTTGTACACCGCCGTGAGTCGCCCTAGGGCTGAGAACGGCGGTCAACAAATGCGGTAAATAAATAAATAATAAATAAATAAATAAAATAAGGCAAGAGAGAAGCCATGGTGATTGGGGATTTGAGGAGCTATAGTCTAAAAACAAAGGTAACTGTCCCAAATTCATGTGGGTTAGATTGTTGCCACTTCATTCAATGCAAATCCATTTCTGCTCTCCTTCATATACTCCTATCCAATGTCTTTGTTATGTGAATTATTTTTTTTGCAAGGAGTCACTATTATTTTGAAAACTCCCAACGTATCTGCCACTGTATTACAATGTACCATTTATATTCATGAGCATGGAAATGCCTTTTCAAACTTTTAATCTTCCAGAACACTTGTTCTATCAATCAGCCTATCCATTTTCCTACCTCTGTGGTAAGAGAGACATTGGGGAGATAATTAATACCTTCATAAGTAAAGGATAGCATCTTCTTTAGCGGAACATACACCAAGCCTCATCTCATTAGTATTCTGTGTAAAGAGATTTGTCAGGCAGCAGCCCAAGTCTTATGCAGTGTCTCTATACCGAGACACACAAGTCCAGCCCATAATATTTTTCTGCCCGAGGTGAGACAACACGCAGTGCCTCAGCCACCCAGTTCAGTTCACCTAGTGATCAATATCAGTCTAAGGACCTCATCACACTAGAGCATGGGTCCACTTTAAGTCCTGTTTCTGCCTCCTGCAGAATTCTGAGGTTTGTAGTTTAGGGAGGAGCCTTTAAACTGCTCAGCCTCACAACAAACCCCAGAATTCTGCAGGTGGCAGAAACTGGATTTAAAGTGGATTCATGCTCTAGTGTGATGAGGCAGTAATTATTTTTACACCAGAGGTGGAAATCCAGGAACACCTTACTTCCTCATTGTAAGTAAAAAAAATATAAGGATATAATAACTTACAACTGTCTTTCTTTTCATGACATTGCAAATTGGATGTGGAATCACTCACCACATCTTGCCCAATGATAGGTATGGGTAGCTAATATATATTCTGAAATGGCAAATTTCAGAGTAGATAAACAATTTTTCTAGACATTAGTAAGGAATTTGTCTTATCCTTGCACTATGAATAGCAGTTCTCAAGCTTGTTTGCTTTTTCCCTGAAGTACTTAAAACGTGCTTGCAGTCTTAGTCAGCCATTTAATAATTTGTCTTCGTTCTACAAATCAAACTGCATAAATAGCCCATACACACAGAGAGGGGGGGGGGGGAGAGAAAGAGACTTACTTACTTTACTAACTTAGGCGATCCCTCGTAGTCCAAGCATGATGGTCCTCCAAGTGATGTGTCTTGGCAGTGGATAAGTAGGTGGCTGTGAAGCCCTATTCCTGACCTGCATGTTCTCCCACAGTGAGGGCATTGGTTTCCAGGTGGAAGACGCTCCCAACCAGGGTTGGCTTGACATGCCTTCCTCTTGGCACATTTCTCTCTTTCACCCTCCATTCGTGCCTCTTCAATTTCTACAGCACTGCTGGTCACAGCTGACATCCAGCTAGAGCACTCAAGGGCCAGGGCTTCCCAGTTCTCGGTCTCTATACCACAGTTTTTAAGGTTGGCTTTGAACCCATCTTTGAAACTCTTTTCCTGTCCACCAATATTCCATTTCCCGTTCTTGAGTTCAGAGTACAGTAACTGCTTTGGGAGTCGGTGATCAGGCATTCAAACAACGTGGCCAGTCCAGCAGAGTCGATGGTGGAGGACCATCGCTTCAATGCTGGTGGACTTTGTTTCTTCCAGCACACTGACATTTGTCCACCTGTCTTCCCAAGAGATTTGCAGGATTTTTCAGAGGCAACATATCTATCCGAACATATCTCAGCCTATCAGCCCACCAGGACCCTAAGATCTTCTGGAGAGTCCCTGCTCTCTGTCCCTCCGGCTTCAGAATTGCGGCTGGCGGGAACGAGAGACAGGGCCTTCTCTGTGGTGGCCCCTCGGCTTTGGAATGCCCTCCCTATAGAGATAAGATCAGCTCCCTCGCTGTTGGTATTTCGAAAAAAACTTAAGACATGGATGTTTGAACAAGCATTCGGGTAATCCGGTGCGATGAAGTTGATGACAAGGACTGGTAATTATTGACGATGAATTCGGATTATGATTTTAACTAAGAGATGCATTGGTCGGTATTGGTGGCCCGATACTGTGTACTGTATATGTTTTTTATGCTTTTAAATTGTTTGATTATTGTTGTTTTTAAGTACTGTTAACCGCAATGAGTCGCCGTTGTAGGCTGAGATATTGCGGTATATAAGCATACAAAATAATAATAATAATAATAATAATAATAATAATAATAATAATAACACTGATGGAATCATTCCAGGAGTAATCGGGATGTAATAAGAGCATGGACCACCATGGCCAGATCAGACTTCCCAAGGTACGGGCACAGCTGGTGCACAAGTTTTAATTGTGCAAAAGCTCTCCCGGCCACCGCCGAGACCTGGGGTTCCAGGCTCAGCGATGAGTCCAGGATCACTCCCAAGCTGCGAACCTGAGCCTTCAGGGGGAGACGTATCATATTATCACATGATATGTCTAAAGTACAATGCCCCCAGCTTTGTCATTTTGGCTTCTATGGCAAGTTTAGGATTAAATACCCCTTGGATCCATTTATCTACATTTCTGGGGAAAAAATTCAGCATTCACATTACAAATTACTGATCTCTTTCTGTCGGCATTCTTCATAGTCCAGCTTTCACAACCATGCACCAAATTTGGAAATACTATGGCAGAGATCATTCCAACTTTGGTATTCATTGATTAACCAGTGCTGACATCAGCAAACGCACCTTCATGGCCAGGAAAAAAAAAGAAAGGGGCAATCTCTCCACAATTTCCATGGGTGACTCTGCTGAGGTCTACATAGGGCACCAATGATGGCCAGCTCTATATGGCTAGTTGGGGTCAGCAACAGTAATGACATAGGCATAGTCCTTCAGAGCAGGGTTTGTTTGTTTGTTTCATGTCAAAAGCATTACATAAATAAATATTTAAGCATTGCATAAATAAATAAATAAATAAATAAACAAACAAACAAACCGATAAAATAAAGGGAGCACAAGACGTTAAATAACTTTAGACCACAAACGGGCAACAGAGACCGCATTGTCTGTAGCTTTAAACAGTTCTTCCTCTGTGCACGAGGCAGGGCATTGTGGGCAAGCGTACAGATGCTGGGCTGTTTGTTCTGCTCCACAACTGCACAAGGTTTCTTCTAGGTAGTGCCATTTTGCCAGGTTGTCTTTTGATCTGTCAACTCTGCTTCTGAATCTCTTCAGGGACTTCAGGGCAAGGTGATAGCTGTGGTGTCTTGTGTAGAAAATGAACTGGGCCCAACTGGGCCAAATTCAATTGTCCACACTGCCCTGAAGTCATTGGATACCCTGGGGTTTCTGGAGCATCCTCTGATTTTGCTGAAAGGTGAGGAAAAACTAGGTTAACCTGGTATGACCCATCATATCCACTGGAAATGAAGAAACATTGTGAAGACAGGCAGTAACCAACACAGGGAGGGTCCAGGTTTTCATACCCACATAGAGGAGCCCCAAGTATCTTGATGGTCTCTCATTTATAGAATTGCCATCAGTTGAACTTAACAACAAATAAAGCAACAAATATGCAGTGAATCCTTTCTTTAAAAAAAAGTAGTCTATCTATATGAATGCAAGATAATAATTGGTTTTAGATACTGGGAAATGTAATATATGACAAACTAAATATAGCACTCCAAATGCTGGGCTTTGCAAATAAAAAAAACAGTGTAGTTAATATGTGGCACAAAATATTTTCAGTGTTATAAAAAGAGCTTTTATAGATCTTGGACTTTTTCATCCACACAATTTTGCAAAGGCTTTTATAGCTAGAAGTTGACACAGCAGTATTAATAAAGGGTTATGATCATAACATTGGCAACAATTATAGGAAAACCTAATGAATCCATCAATCTTATTCTTAGTGTTAGTAAAACAACATTCAACAGCATACTGAGTTATGGGCTATTTTAGATTATAACAGATTTGATGCTCTCTTTCCCAGCCCAAATCAATAAAAACCACCATTTCATATCTATAAACTTTCAGAAAATTATACTTTAGTTTACTCATAGATCATACATTCCCAATCTTTTTCTAAAAATTTGCATTTTAGTGCCTAATATCAGTGAAACCTTAGTGAGTAACGACATACATTGCACACAAAACCCCTGCATTTGTTTCGCATCTTAAACAAAACCACTTGATTTCTCCTCTCATTGCAAAAAAGCTATTTATATTTTTTCTGCTTACTTTTCATTGCTTACTTCTCATTCTGAGCAATACAGATCCATGAGAGGGAAATGATTTTTATGTATATAGAAAACTGCCACCCCACATTTTGCATTGATCGCAAATTATTCGTCCCAATGCAATCTTCCCTGACAAGAAGGTAATTGCTTCAATGATATAAAATTTGGGAAATGGCTTTCAATGCACAAATCTTTATAATGCATAAAACAGAAAACAAGGTGTGCCTACTGCAGAGAAAATCATGTTGGGCAGCAACTGTTGGAGCACAATATTTCTTTGACTTCGAAACATTTCTTGTTTTATGCTCTAAAAACACAGTACTTATTTGTTGTGTCATGAAAAAACAAAACTTTTCATATTTAGGAGCTGAAAGAAGCAGCTCAGCAACCAGAAAAAGAAAACATAAGTAGGTGTTTGGCTATAAGAAACCAAAGCTAAATATAATATTGTGACAATAAATCTATTAGGCCAGTGGTTCTCAACCTTCCTAATGCTGCGACCCCTTAATACAGTTCCTCATGTTGTAGTGACCCCCAACCATAACATTATTTCCATTGCTACTTCATGACTGTAATTTTGCTACTGTTATGAATTGTAATGTAAATATCTGATATGCAGGATGTATTTTCATTAACTGGACTATATTTTGCACAAATAACCAATACACCCAAGTTTTAATACTGGTGGGTTTGGGAGGGAGATTGATTTTTGTCATTTGGGAGTTGTAGTTGCTGTCATTTATAGTTAATCTACAATCAAAGAGTATTCTGAACCCCACCAACAATGGAATTGAAACAAACTTGGCACACAAAACTACTGTGTTTTCTGATGGTGTTTGGCAACTTCTCTGACAACCCCTTGCGCCCCCCCCCCCCCCCCCAGAGGACCCAACCCCCAGGTTGAAAAAGAACAAAAGAACAAAAATGAGGCCAACCTTTCACATTTTTCAGATCAGTCAAAAAGTTGCAAAAAAGCAAGCGGAGTAATAAAAGGAGGAACAATTTGAAAGTCGAAGCATAAACCACCAGGTGTGGGTTCTTTCCTCTCTCTCTTAACATATACACATTGTACATTTCTGTCACTGGAATGGCCCACATATCTAGTAGTGAGAAGAGCATGATCAGGTAGCAGTAGGCCATGAATAAACATCGTTTTCTGAACCTTCCAGAGGAACCACTGGAAAATCATATAATCATAAAATTGGAAGAAACTCCAAGGGCTATCCAACCCAACCCACTGCCATGTAGAAATACAAAATCAAGGTACTGACAGATGGCCATAAGCCTCTGTTTAAAACCCTAGAAAAGGAGACTCTGCCATTCTCCAAGGCAACATATTCCACTGCTGAACAGTACTTACCACCCGGGGCTATGTTTTCCTAATGTTTGGGTAGAATCTGTTCCATTGTATCTATAGTCTTTATGGTGATGCTATTGCCTTGATATACCATGTGCTCATTTTCATGCACAATTTAACCCAAAATATTTTTCCAACTTCTCATAATGTGACATAAAACTGTGTTAACTGGGTTGAAACCCCTGAATGTCACCAAGATGTCTAATAGTGACCTCTGGTCAAATTTGGGGGTTGGAGACAGTGTAATCAGTCCCCTAGTTGCAGAAACTAGCCACTGCCTGGTATTGAATTGCAAACAAGCTTTTAAAACTGCATGGTTTTCAAATACTTTCTTACAGTGGGTAAAAAATTGTTTAAAATACTCATTGCTTATTTTGAGGGTGGTAAATGTATTGTATAGTGCTGAGAGTGCCTTGGACTGCGAGAAGATCCAACCAGTCCATCCTCCAGGAAATGAAGCCCGACTGCTCACTGGAGGGAAAGATACTAGAGACAAAGTTGAAGTACTTTGGCCACATCATGAGGAGACAGGAAAGCCTAGAGAAGACAATTATGCTGGGGAAAGTGGAAGGCAAAAGGAAGAGGGGCCGACCAAGGGCAAGATGGATGGATGGCATCCTTGAAGTGACTGGACTGACCTTGAGGGAGCTGGGGGTGGTAACAGCCGACAGGGAGCTCTGGCGTGGGCTGGTCCATGAGGTCACGAAGAGTCGGAGACGACTGAACGAATGAACAACAAAAATGTAATGAGGACTTCTGTTATTAACACAAACAATTTAGTTCTTAGTTTCTCTCCCAGTGCATGGAGGTTCTGAAAACCTTGATGTGGGGGGACTTCCACAAGACTGATAATTTCCCCCAATTGCTGCTACATCTTTTTTTTTTCAAAACTGTTGTTACTTAAGCATCTAAAATTGCATTTATGCCAGAACATTGAAAACAGACGAAATTATTATTAACACTGCTGCAAAGAAGAAATCTTAGTCACTAAAACAAGAAAAAAACATTCCCAATACAACAATATAACATTATTGAGAACAGGTAGATTGTATATTAATTACATTGGGATTATGGGTGCTAATTTTCCCTTTTCCAAAGAGGTGGCATCATTTTCTCAATGACAGGGCAGCTGTGACTAGTCTGGAAGGATCCACTGCCCTTGAAATTTAAAGATAAATAGATATCTGTGTGTGTGTGTGTGTGTGTGTGTTGTGTGTGGATCCTGTGGCACCTCCAACACTTCTTGCACCTTCAGGAGCATGTAACAGGAAGGGGACTCTCAGCACGAAAACCCACTCAACACAAAAACAAGTGGAGCCGATCACCAGCTCCCCCTCTACTTTCGTGAGCACATGGGGCTCCATGACTCCTAGCCTTGAAAAGAGTGTGTGTTTGTGGTGTGCAGGCCCAGTGTGAGCACCTACCTCCAGCCAAGTAAGAAAGTCAATACAGAGGTACTCTTGGTCAGTTGCAAGGCCGCAAGGTCTGACTTGGCCATGGTAGTCCACGCTCTGGTTACATCCCGTATAGACTACTGCAACACTCTCTACGTGGGGTTGCCTTTGAAGACTGTTCGGAAGCTTCAAATGGTCCAACGTTTGGCAGCCAGGATACTGACAAGAGCGGCGCTCAGGGAGCATACAACTCCTCTGTTGCACCAGCTCCACTGGCTGCCAGCTTGCTACCAGGCACAATTCAAAGTGCAGGCATTAGCCTATAAAGCCCTGAACGGTTCTGGCCCAACTTACCTGTCCAAACGCATCTCCTCCTATGAACCAGCTAGGACGTTAAGATCATCTGGGGAGGCCCTGCTCTTGGTCCCACCTGCATCACAAGTATGACTGTCGGGGATGAAAGACAGGGCCTTCTCAGTGGTGGCCCCTCAGCTGTGGAACACCCTTCCACAGAAATTAGATCACCCCCCTCCCTATTAGCATTTCAGAGGAAAGTGAAGACCTGGTTATTCGAGCAGGCATTTGAATAGGCAGTATAATGAATATAGGAATATGGAACAATGGATGATGAGATTGGATCTTGATTCTACCTATGAGACGCTAATGAGATGTTATAGTTATGTTTAATTGATTGTTTATTATGTCATTGTTTTAATTGCTTTTTAAGTGTTTTTATATTGTTGAGCATTGAATTTTGCTATTGTTAACCATTTTGAGTCACCCAGTGGCTGAGATAAGCGGTATATAAATGAAGTAAATCAATAAATAATAAAATAAAGTCAGAACTTACCTCCTTGCCTTTTAAAGAGAGAACGCCTATGTGGAGTGCAGGCACAGCGCATGCCTGCCTGCAGCGAAGCACCTCTTTTCTAGAATAGAAATATATAAGAAGCTGCCTTAAAGCACATGCCTGCCTGCAGCTCAGCACTTCTTAAAACAGCTTAAATGACAGGAAGGGGAACCTGGGATGCCCTGCCTCATAATGGGTGAATAGAAAATTGATCTTTCGGCACCCCAGAGTGAAAACAGGTATCTGCCCTCCTGATTTCAGGAGGCTCCCCAAAAATGGATCAGAGCCTTCACCGAAAGCCAGGACATGAAATAGGTCAAGGTTTACATCAAATGCACAAGCCTTGTGTGTGTGTGTGTGTGTGTGTGCGTATTATGGAAAATACTATGCTTTGAAAGCATGGCTTTATATTTGTTAAAAAACCTTCATATTATTTTTTTCATATTAATTTCTGCCCAAAATCTACAAGCAGAGGGGAAAATGTTAGAAAAGCAAGTTTTGAAATGACTGAGTGGATGAAAGAATCTGATTTGTTGAAACACATATGGATGGATTATATTTGTGGGATGGATTATGTGATTATTCTGTTGTATTTACCTTGGGCATATTTTTTGAAAATCATAATACGCATCTTCTATCAACAACTGTCTTTTTGCTAGTTGCTGGGGGAAAGCCACATGTACAGCATCTACCTCACAGAAGCTGAATCTGGTGTAGGAGTTCCAGATTGCCTGTCTCTCTGGACCCGGCAGTGATACAGATAGGACAAGATGACATAAAGAAAAACAGTGGAAAGAAATACAGTAGCAGTAATGATCTGTATTGTATTACTTTTCTGATAGGCAAGAACTGTGAAGTTTTATCCTGAGCCATATGAAAGAGACTAAGGAGAAACTACATGACAAATCCAGCTCTAGTCTTTTTGAGGGATACAAGCTGTTATGGCTTAACTTTATTATTCCAATCCTTTTCCTTATTGCAGAACCCAGTGCTGCTCCAACGGATGTCAAAGCTACAGGATTGTCTGTATCAGAGATTCTCGTTGCATGGAGACACAACAAAGAAAGTGTAGGAAGACCTCAGGGATTTGAGGTATTAATAAAAGTGATGATGGTTAAACAGTGGCTATTGTATTTGGACATATCACAAGACAACATAATTCACTGGAAAATATAACACTCAGTAAAGTGGAAAGCAATTATATATTTCAAAATAATGTGTAAAATACGGATGGATTCATTCAATAAACAAAGCCATTGGCCCTGAATTTGGATGACTTAAGCATGGCTGTGGATTAAAGGTCTAATTTTATACAAATAGCACAAATCAAAGCTGATTTGATAGTGAATAACATTACATAATTTCAGTTGGTGATATGTCTTTATTTGCTTAACTCTATCTTCTGCTAAAATAATTACACAGTGCAATATCTGTCAAATTTTTAATCTTGATAATGTATTAGTAACAATTGCAGAGAAAGTTATTTAGACAGGACTTGGCTGCTCATTATGGTAAGTAAGATATACGGTTGCTAAATAGAAAAACAAATGTTAATCTCTGCTTAAGCAGACCCAGTAAATCAAAGGAATTTACATAAAGCTTGACTTATAAATTTCTATGGTATTGGTTTGTCCAGACAAAAGCTACAATTATTGTAAGGCCTAAATAATATTGCAGGATGGCCTCGCAACCTCTGAGGATGCCTGCCACAGGTGCAGGCGAAACGTCAGGAGGGAATGCCTCTAGAACATGGCAATACAGGCCAAAAAACCTACAAAAACCCAAGCTTAATACTCCTTTTGAGGAGGGAGCAAGAGCAGAAAGAGGGGGATTGTGAAATTCTAAAAGAATCAAGAACCAACTGTCTTGGTAGGTCACACACAATCACAGGAGATCATTTTGCCAAAATCTTGGGGTTACTGGTTCAGGATTCTCCCAATCCCAAACATAGGCCAAAATCTGAGGCCTTAGACAACCGTTGGCAATGTCATTAAGCATTATGTGTTAAGTACCAGGCACAGTTGCTTACATCTTGTCATATAAATGTATATACATGCATAGAAAAGTCCTTTCCCATTTGGAAATTAAGCTGGAAAGGATCTGTTCCCAATCAAGATGAAATGAGGCAATTATTACTTCTCACTTGCATAAGGAGATCGGATAAGGGACATTTCATATCTAGCTAGAAGGTGGATACCGAGAATTTGCAACTTTGTCACCTGCTTAGAAATGATCCACCCCTAGCTGATCTGCATAGACCACGGATGAACCTGCATTTAATGGCTCATCCCTTTCTTGCAATCATATTATATAAGAGATAGTTTATTTTTCCAGTTTGCTTTGCTTTTTAGCTCACTTGCTTCTTCTTTTACCATGGTTCCCCACTTTGTTTTATTGACAAAACTGACAGGAGGGATAAATCTTCCATGACCTGCTTGAAAATGCAGGTCTGATGTGTGTTGAATTGAGGAGCAATCACAGCAATTTGTTCAGTTTCACAAGCATCCTTGAACAGTAGACTGCATTGCCAGTGAAATTTCACAGACTGGCATTATTTCTGATCTTAACAGTTTGTCGGTGCCACCCTCTCACCTTAGCTCTTTCTCCCATCTGTTGGGAGTTTTTACTGTAAAATCAACTTCTTTGTGGTTTCCAGATTTGCATATTGGTTTAAAAAATAGGAAGCGATTATGGTACTATCACTTAGCAAATCATATTGTTTTTGTGAGTGTTTAGAATGAGAGACAGCACATGTGTGCGGAGGCTAACAATTTATATTAAAGAGCAATGACACCAATAGCTGAAGAAACAAACCCTGGCTTTATTGAAAGAGCTCCATTAAAGACTGGAAAGCTTACTAAGGGTGCTAAGCTAACATCAAACTAAGCTAGTTTGACTTTTAGCAGAAGTGAGAGAGTCAGAGAGCAGGAAGAGGAGAGCTGGGAAATGCCATAAGAGGATCAGCTTACCTCTCAGAGCAGTTGGGATAGATGGATAAGAAGTGATGAGACTTTGGATCACTGGAAACTACTTAACTCTGTACCAGCTGTTCTCTCCAAAGCATCTTTTACTCTTTAAGTGCTGAGAGTTGTTCTCTTTCCAATGCAGGAATGCTCTGGCAGACCTACAAGGCATCTGTTTAATCCAGAACTTTTACTTTTGTGTTTACTATGCCACAGAACTGATCCCCTCTTACATTGACTTAAATTATCAGTGTCCACTACTCAGCAATAGCATTTCAAGCTGTGTCTAAACTAAGCAGTAAATCTGAGGTTAGTATAGAACAGAATTGCTTTAGATTAACCCCAATGACAGCCACAGAGCTCCTACCCACTGTGGCAGTTGGATGGAGTCTACCCAGTTCAGCCAGGCTAAAACCACTTTAGCCCATCATCACAATCCCTTCACCATCATTAGAAGGAAAAAGGAGATGGATTGTACCTTTGTCACTGTCATCAACACTCCTAGGCAGACACAGAGCTCTATATAAGCTCCTGACAATCACATGAGCATTGTTCTGACATTAACAGAGGTCACATGAGACCAGAAAGAAGGTAATGATCTCTCCACCTTCTTCCAGATAGTGTGGATACCACTGACCCCAGTTAAGCCCTTACTGGGTTGAGATTTATTGCCATGACAGCTGGCCATGGAGTTCTAGAGAGCTCCTGGTCATCACCTGGACTCCTTTGCTAATTCATGAATCAGTCAGACTGGACTCAGAATTGGAAGCAGAGCATTTAAACAGCGATCAAAAGGAACAGTGCTCCAGACAAGTCCCAGATTTAGATCAATTTAGATAAGCCCCAAGTTTATGAAAATGTTTAATGCCAACAATATTATTTCAATCTCTAAAGAGTTCTCAATTAGTTTCAAAGGGGATCCCCTCAGATCACACAACACCTTTGCTGATGTCAGTAAAGGCACTCGGTTCTGGTTAGGAGCTCTCCTAAGTTCCCTTGGTGGTTGCCACAGCAACAAAAAAAGCTCAGCTAAGTTCGGTTGCCTTTTCCTTGTGTCATAAAACACAGAAGAAGGGATAATGGTACTGGTCCATGCACACAGTTGCTCCACTTTGAATTAGAGCCAGTCCAGCTTTCCACATCAACTCCGAAGTGTGGGGCTGCTCAGCATTTTGGGGAAAGTCTGGAGCATTCCTCAACTTCTGCTAACATAGGGTAAAACTGGGTTAACCAGATTTTCCCTGCATTGTGGACTGGAAATACCTGGACATTGTAAGAACATTTAGGAGTAATGTCTGGACTGATTTGAAGTTCCTGTTTAGTTTAGACAGGCCCTAAGTACTTCCTCAGATGGATAGAGTGAAGTGTCTAAAAATAGACCTTTATAGACAGGCTGTGTGTATAAATAGTCACAAAAATACAAAACTTGTGAGTATGGTGATGGGGCAACAAATTAGTTTTAATGATGGTCACTGGAAGACAGACAGGAGAAGAGATGTTGCCTGAAGCTGAGATGAATATATATAGTGGAGGGAGTTGTATAGACTCTCTTTACAGCAATCATACTGCAAAAGTCTGGCTGAGGCAGTAAACTTTAGCTTCAAGAAACTGACCTTGTACTTATCACTTTACAAAAGGTAAACAGATTTTCTTGTCACATTCATTGCGATTATTTATAGTCCTTATTATTCTTCTCTTTTATTAAAAGTTAAAGTCCTTTTATTTCCACAATTCTCTCCTTAAGAAAAATTCTGCAGCACATCCATTTGGTTTTTATTAAAAGTGTTTTTCAAAAGTCTTTTAAAAGTTTCACAGCCAGTTTATTATATTCCCATGATTGCGTGGAGAAATAACTTTGCCAGAACTTGACCTCACTGCCATGATAAAAAAAGTCTATCTTAAAGTAGATCCAAATTTGATTCCCCTTTCATTAATAAAGCAGGTTTCATGGTTTTTTTTTTGTCCCTATCAGGTAGGCTTCTGTCATGGTGGTAATTTAAGGAAGCTGGTAGCTTAAGGACCTCATCATGTGGGCTTCTGGATCCGTCCTAGGATGCTTCCACGGCCAAACCAGTACCCAGCCCACTGAAATTCTTCACATGAGGCAGGGATACATCTAGCAGAGATCTGTCCTGGCTCCATCCTAGAAGTTTCCTAGGACTAAGTCCTGAGAACACAGGTGGCTACCCATGTTCCCATTGCCTACATTGGGGGCAGTACGGGGGAAAGCTGGGCAGTGACTTTTCCCCCCATGTGATGGGAAAGGTGATAATGCAGGCAATGCGGGATGCAGAATGACAGTTTCTACCACTGTCCCATGGATTTGCCATGCTGCCTGGTGAATCCCCATATTGGAGACTTCATTGTGATGAGGTCTTCAGTCTCACTCCCCAAAATGTGATGATTTGATCTCCAGTTTATGGACCCTCCTAGGTGATGTAACCTGCCCAAGATCAGCCAGTGGATTAATGCAACTGGACACCATTTTAACTGCCATGGCTCAGTGTTGTGGACTCATCAGAGTTGTAGTTTCAAGAAGGAGCAACTCACTTTGGAAGAGAAGGCTTAATATCTTGTGAAACTACAGATCCCATGACTCAAAAGCATTGAGCAATGGCCATTAAAGTGGTGTCAAACTGCACTAGTTCTTAGTCAATTAGAGTAACTCTAGCAAAATGTGGAGAATTAATTTTAAGGAACTACATCTTCCAGGATCTTCCAGCTCATGTGGCCATAGGTCACACTACCTAGGGGATTCTGGGAAGTATAGTACTAAAGTACTATTCTCACTGAGAATGTTGTTCACTGCAAAACCAGTACCTGCAAGAAAATGGTGGCTTACACTGAAAGCATAACAAACAAACTATTCAGTATTCATGTACTGCTAGCATAACCTCTGGAGAGTGAGAAAAACTCAGAGAAGGCAAGCAGCAACTGCCACAGACTTGTAAACATCAAAAACGATTTGGGCTTTTGTGTGCAAAGGAAGAGGAAGCCACTCCATAGAGAGGGTTCTTCCTGAATTACATTTGACAGAAACCTGTTCCTATCAGAGTAACTCAAACCAAACCCTCCGGTTTCCTCACCGTTCCCCCAGCGCTGCTGTTCGGGTATGATTAACCCACTACAAGGTTTCCTCAGGTGTTCTGTCATCTCCAATTCATTGCACAGGCTAAGAGCTTCCTTGCTGTGTACTGTGCTCACCAAGGAAGGAAATATTGCTCACGCCACTTCCTCGCAGAATTTAGTCGAAGCTCGCTATGTCTGAATAGTAAATGTATTTGAAAACCCACCAGAGGTAGGCTGCCCTTGGATTTTCTGGAGTGGTTTTGACTTCCTGTCAGCACTTATTCTCGCTTGTCCCTTCTTGCTACAAAGTCCCAGGCTGGCAAATCCAGAGTGCTTTGAATCTTGGCTATCTAATTGCCTGATGCCCTTTGGCCAACTGGTTGGAAATGTCAAATGCCACAATGCAGTGCAGTGTACAAGAGCTAAAGTGGTAGTAAAAGTACTTGATAGTAGGTTCATTTGTCCAGGAAGCTATGACAGCTCTATGAATGACATTGGGTCAATTACTGTCTTTCAACCCAACCTAGCAAATTGGACTCATTGCTTTGCATGCAAAATGTTCCTGTTGTCTCCAGGTAGAAATGAGTAAGACCAATATCTGAAAAAGTTGGGAAATATAGCCAGTCAGATTTAGAAACCAACAAGCTATAGGATACAAAAGTACACATCTTCAAGGTTAGCACAAGTTCTGACCAGGACTTTGACACCACTGATGTTCTTGACTCCCAGTTTTTGCCATCAAAAATAATGTTTGTCTCCAAGTAAATGTTCCACATTGCCATTTCTTTTCCAAACCAAAAGGGCTGTGAGGAGAGAGGCTGGATTGCTTTTAGATATGTACTTTGGGAACTTTCAGAAAACATTTTATGAAAACAAGTTGGATGTGTTCTAGATCCGTGTGCTGCCCAAGGCCAGGCTCTTCCCTCTCTAATCTATGATGGAATGAATAAAGTACTACCCAGTGGACAGGCTATTTTGGTGGCCCCAAAGCCTTTAAGGGTTTTAAGATTCCTTTGATTGCTCTTCCAGTGGCCGGGGTGGTGATGGGGGGAGGACTTTCCCATAAGTCTTTTAAACTGACCTTTTAAATAGGTTGCAGATTCCCTTGTCATTATTGCTTTACATCAGGGACCATAACCTTCCTTTGCAGCTACATTGTTTACCAAAAGCTTATAGAACACTATCAGTCTATTTCATACTATTGCCCTCCAGATGTGTTGAGCATACTGACCTTGAAGTTATGGGAACTGTAGTCCACCAGACTAAAGAAAGCTGGATTATTAATAGCAAAACTGAAATCCTGAAATGATGTCCTGTAAAAGATGGAAATCATTTTCTGCTGCTCCAGACACTAGAGCACAAACCAACACATTCAGATTGCAAGAGGTTTCACCCAAACATGCTGAACTTCCTTCCTGTGTTTGATAACAAAGTCAAAGTTAAGGTTTATTATTTATTTATTTACCATATTTATGCACCATCTTTCTCAGCCTGAAGGTGACTTCTGGTGAGGCCCTTGATCTCGCCTTTGTCGCAGGCATGCCTGGCAGAGACAAGAGACAGGGCCTTCTCAGTTATGGCCCCTTGGCTATGGAACTCCCTCCCTAGGGATATTAGATTGGCCCCCTCCCTCCTGACATTTCAGAAAAAAGTAAAAACCTGGCTATTCGAACAAGTTTCTGGAAATGCAGCATAACAGATAAACATGGAACTAGTAAAAAGTAGTCACGGAAAGGCTTAGACAATGCTTCTGGAAAATGAGTTAACAGAAAGTCACTGATGATTATATGTTTTTAAAGATTTTTATATGGTTTTATAATGTGTGCTAAATGTTTTTAATTGTGTTTTATGACTGTGTGGCAACAAATTGCTGCCAATTGTAAGCCGAGAAAGGCGGCATAGAAATACCACAAATAAATAAATAAATAAATAAATAAATAAAGTGGATCACCTCAAGAGACTAGTGGACTTCCCTTCTTTGGATATTTTAAAGATCAAACTGAATGGCCATCTTTCTGGAGTGCTTTGTGAGTTCCTGTATGATAAAGGAATAGACTTGATGAGCCTCATGGTTTTTCTTATTCTGTGATGCTATATGTTTACAAGAGACATTGAACACACCACTATTTCACAGACATTAAAATAATTTCAAAGGTTTAGTGTGAGGGTTTGTAAACAAGGTATTTTGATGAGTTTTTGAAACATGCTATAGACATTATGAATTATCATAATTAAGGGGAGAACCCCACAAATGTGCTGGTCAATCATTTACACAGTCTTCTATCGACAGGTTGGTTATTGGAAAGATATGGAACAAGAAGAAGCAGCTGAAAAGGCCAGAACAGAAGGAAATGAGTCATCCATCATTCTAACCGGGCTAGAAGGCAACACACTGTACCACCTGAGAGTAAAGGCGTACAACGCAGCGGGGTACGGGCCACCTAGCAATGCTGTTCGTGTTGCTACCAAGAAATCTCGTAGGTTCCCAACTTCTGTTCTCCTATGTGTAGCTCTGAAAAGGTTTCAATTCTTTTTTCCCTTTTCCTTGAGATATATGTGGAATAGCAAACAGGACTGTGCTGCTGTTTTGATTCATGAGCTCACTTTAAAGGATTTGTATTCCTAAAAAGTGACCAAGAACATTTGGCATTCATGAGAGGCAAGGTTAGCTTTCTGGAAAACAAGGCTAAATGTTTTTGACATGGAACAGCAAATGGAGATTAAATGATTCATGCCTCCCCAGTAACTATTAAAATGACACTTCTTCAGCAAGAGACTATACTACTGAACTTTGCCCAGCCCTGCTGGCAATTGAGCATAAATGTAATAAAAAATTAAACCGCCTCTTGGTTATTTTGTTGCTTTTCCCAAAACCTTCCAGTATGTATTTCTAAACAGTGTATCATATATTTATCTCTTTATCTTTAATCTTTTCTCAGCTCCTAGTCAAGCACCAAGTAATATTATGTGGATACAAGATGGCTCCCATGTGTCCTTGGGATGGGAGCCTGTTAGACCTCTAGCAAATGAATCTGATGTCATGGGATATAAGGTCAGTTTGCCACATGGTTAGCATTCCATCCTCTATTATTGCTTTTCATGCATTGTTCACAAATTTTGTGCTAAAGGCCTCGATTTATGTCACCATCGAGCTCCTTTACATTAGAAGGTTTCGTCCAATATATATTTGCCCGAGAGCAGCCCTGAATTCAGCACATTTGTGCCAAATGCATGGCAGTTGTCTAGACAGCCTGGGAGTGCATCCACTCTTCTTTGCTGTCATCTCTTTCATGCCATTGCTGCCATCCAGCCAGAGAACTCCATTCAAGCTTGTGCCTACCATGAAGTCCTCTGCTTATATCTTCTTATGTCAGAATGAAGCAACTGAAGGACATCAAAAGGCAGGGTGAAATATTCTTTCCTTCTTGGTCCCATGGGCTCCCAGTTCTGGCATCAGCAGTCAGAATGCACTGGCTGGGAGGAATTATCGATCCCCTTGCTCTGCTCTAGTAAGCGCACAAAAAAAGATGGTGGTGTCAAATACATTCCCGCTGTCCAGATCCCTGAAGCCTTGGGATATCTCTGTATCTCCCCGCATACACCCACCAAAATAATGATACTCAATGGAAGCCACTGTACCACTGTACCCTGTTAAGTTAACCGGTGGACCATTCGCAGTATGGGGGTTTTGGTTAATGTAGACCTCAAACTAAGGCCCTCCAAGGTCATTTACCTGGCCCTCACTCAGGGTCAACCTAAGTCTGAAATAACTTGAAAGCACACAACAACAACTACAACAATCCTATCTCATGAGCCAAAAGGAGGCCCACACTTCCCATTGAAATACTATTAAGTTTATATTTGTTAAAATTGTTCTTAATTTTAATTATTGTATTGTTTTTAAGTGATTTTTGCACTACAAATAAGATATGTGGTGTGCATAGGAATTCATTCATGTTTTTTTCCAAATTATAATCCGGCCCTCCAACAGTTTGAGGAACTGTGATCTGGCCCTCTGTTTAAAAAGTTTGTGGACCCCTGATGTAGACCCTAAACAGTCTCGTCATCATGCCTTTTTTCAGCACTGTGATTCAAAATGTAAAATAGGTACAAATGTATTATTTATTTTATTTCGGGCACTTCTACCCCGCCCTTCTCAACCCCCAAGGGGGGGACTCAGGGTGGCTTACAACTGGCACAATTTGATGCCAACAATTCAACAGATAAAATACATAACAGCAATAGCCACAATAGTTAAAAACAATCAATTAATACAATAACAACTAAAAAGACAATCTTGTGGCCAAACGTTCACCGAGTTCTAAAATCCGTAAGTCCATTCAGCATTACTATAGTCCTTTCCAAATTCTGGTCATCATTACCTTGTCAGTCTGCCAGATTACCCAAAGGCCTGGTCCCATATCCATGTTTTCAGCTTCCTTCTGAAGGAGAGGAGGGATGTTGATGACCTAATTTCCCCAGGGAGTGAATTCCACAGGTGTGGGGCCACCACTGAGAAGGCCCTGTCCCTCGTCCCTACCAGCCTCACTTGTGATAGAGGTGGGGCCGAGAGCAGAGCCTCCCCAGAAGATCTTAAACTCCGAGGTGGGACATAGAAGGAGATATGTTCAGACAAGTACGCTGGGCCAGAGCCGTATAGGGTTTTATAGGTCAAAATCTATTGAGATAAATCTCAAATGTTAAAACAGAATTAAGCTTTTAATTGAATTAAATACAATAAAAACATAACTAACATCCTTTTTAGTATTTACTAGATTGTAAGGCAGACGTACAGTCAGATGTACAATCTCATACATTTGGGGATTCTTATTTATAGTCATTAACTCCTTCTGGCATTGGCAGTAGTATCTGCAGTGATGGAGCTCTATTGTCACAGCTATATCAGATGACGCAGGATCTCAGTCATACATTACACAACAACATATTTCACAATACATCACCTTACTAATAGATTTTTCTCCTTAAAGAGTTTCCAAAGGTATATTGAAGCTATAAAAAAATTACCTGTCAATAAAAGGAAAACAAAGAAAGAGCTAGTCTAGCCTCTCTAGGGAAGGGAGTTCCAGAGTCTTGGAGCAACCACTGAGAATGCCCTCTTCCATTCTGATAAACCTCGCTCTCTTTCACTCTCTGTATTAATGAACCAAGATTGTCCACACTTAACATTCTCAAAGAATCAGCAGTCACAATTATCAGCTGTTTTGTAGTCTGAGTGGATAAGTCCAGTTCTTCACCCCCTTTCCAAGCAACATATCAGTGCTGTTAGCATTATTTTGTTAGCTTGTTTGTAGTGTTTCCTATACCTCTTGAAAGACTCAAGTTGCAGAACACAAATAAAATGAAAAAGGCAGGACAATCTGAAGCTCAGATCTAAAAAGTCAAAAAAAAAAAAAGAAAAGAAGAAAAGAAAAGAAAAGGAAGAAAGGAAACAGAAGATCTGAATGCTTTGAGGTCCCACAAGTGAAATTATTTTGGTATAATGGTAGCCTATGATTTTAGAGAGATATGATAGCCATGTATAAATATGTGAGAGGAAGCCACAGGGAGGAGGGAGCAAGCTTGTTTTCTGCTTCCTTGGAGACTAGGACGCGGAACAATGGTTTCAAACTACAAGAGAGGAGATTCCATCTGAACATGAGGAAGAACTTCCTGACTGTGAGAGCCGTTCAGCAGTGGAACTCTCTGCCCCGGAGTGTGGTGGAGGCTCCTTCTTTGGAAGCTTTTAAGCAGAGGCTGGATGGCCATTTGTCAGGGGTGATTTGAATGCAATATTCCTGCTTCTTGGCAGGGGGTTGGACTGGATGGCCCATGAGGTCTCTTCCAACTCTTTGATTCTATGATTCTATGATTCTAGAGAGAGCACATAATTCCCTGGTACTATTGAGGCTCCTTCTGCTCAGGGCCCTTCCAGACAAGCCCTATATCCCAGGCTCTGATCCCAGGATTTCTGTTTATCCCAGATTATCTGGCAGTGTGGACTCATATAATCCAGTTTAAAGTTTAAAAAAACCTGGAAACAGATTCTGGAATATAGAGTCTGTCTGAGGCCCATCCAGATAGAACTTTAAATACAGGAGTTCCCATTTCATTCTGCTGGATGTCCCACATCTGCCCTCCATTTTATCCCGAGACACAGAAGGGAGACCAGTGAGGGCAGCGGGGGAAGAAATCCTGGGACTGGCAGGTCAGTGTGGGGACTTGCTGAGGTCCCGGGAGTTTTTGCCCCTCTTTTTAATCCCACATTTTGGCACTGTCTGGAAATGCCCTGGAAGGGCCCACTGTCCTTATTTTCCAAGACCTGATCCCAGATTATCTGCTTATCCCAGATTTTATGCCATTGGAGACTCATGTAATCCAGTTCAAAGCAGATAACCAGGGATCTGATCCTGGGATATAAAGACAGTGTAGAAGGAGCCTGAATGATGGGGAATGGCAAAGTTCCACATTGCCAACTTCTTAGAACTAGTGGCTCTGTTTTGTAAACTATGGTGTATGCAAGCCTGATGTTGAGGCTTTGGATATTGTGGGGAGACAAATCTCTCATACCTACCATTCTATTAATGCAGGAGGTCCTTTCTTAATCCTATCAACCACCACTACCTCGAGTTATAAACTGTTTTGATTACTTTTTTAAAAACTTTGAGTCAGACAAAAGCAATCTTTTCTAAGCTGATGGAGGGGAACTAAAATTAAATGTAATGCCTTTATTCTTCAGCTGGCATGTTTTGAATAAAGTGACTGTCAACTGGGGATTTAAAACTAAGTAATATATGCTGCCTGGTGTTGCTACTACCATCCCATTTCACTATTAGGAAGTGCAGACTGTAGTGAAATCCATGATAACACCCCAATTTGATAATATTTGCAATAGGATTTAAGGAAATGCAGAAGCCTGAGGTGTCATAAATGCCATGAAAATTAGTATTTTCTTTACAGAGCAGAAGTGCAAATACCAAGACTTTGCTATGATTACTTGCAGATATTCAGCAGTCCACATTCATAACACCTGGCTTCCTCTTAAATGTTGATTACATTGAGGAATGGGTTGCTCTTTTGGCACATTGTTTGAAAGGGGTTATTGGTCTGCACCAAAATGTATAAGTGTGTATATACATACTTTGACCAACATCCTCCAGCATGTGGACAAAGCATAATCTTCCAATATCTTTTGCTGTTGTAGGTGGCTTCCAAATGCCTGGAGCAAACTAACATGGTAATTTCCTGGCTGGACAGTGATGGGATTGAAAGAAACATGGGTTCCCACCCCTTTCTCTTTACACTGAGGGTCCTTTGCCATTTGTCATCTAATCTATTTTTGAATCTGGCATGTGATGATGATAAAATCCAGACAAGAAGAGTTAACATTCTTAAGTACTGGAATCCTGAGGGGAGAATAAGCAGACTATCCGATAATTTTAAAGGATATTTATTATAGGCAAGTTTAGATATACATATACATCCCTCTTAGGAAAGAAACACAGACATTAATGTCTGAGTATACTGCTTTCATCATACATGATTCATCATACATGCATTTATGGCAAATAAGATGATACCTATTCACAAGGACTGAATCTTTATTATCTCATATTTTCAGCAAGCTTCTCTGTATCTCAAACATAGAGGAACATTACCATCTTAAACAATTAACCTTGACCCTATATCAACTAAAGAAAATACTGCTGAAGAAATCTAATCACTAAAGAGGCATCTGGGAAAAGACAGGCACCAAATGGGTTAATATCTTTGAGCATCTTTAAGAACTGTGGTCCCCAGAACTGTAAACATTTTTCTGGGTGAACTCTGACTAATGGAGAATATAATGCTATTATTATTATTATTATTATTATTATTATTATTATTATTATTATTATTTTCCTTCAATTATTTCCTGTGGATAAAGCCTGAAATGGAACTGGTTTTTAGCTGGATATCACAGTGTTGATTCATGTTTAGCTTGTGCACCTGATCCCATCTGTTCTTAGAAGCAAAGCATAGTATATTTCAAGGAAGGAAATATCAGATCACCTTTGTATGTTTCTTGTCTAAGAAAACCCTATTAAATTCATGAGATCACCATAAGTCAACAGGTGACTTGAAGGCATGTACACATACACACTATTAAGACCCTTATATCTAAATTCTTACTGGTTCTAAGCATTAACCATGAGCCAAAAATCAGCTTCTATCCCTCATTTTAAAACTACAACTGTGGTTAGTGTAAACTGTTATTGCAACTTGTGTAAATGTAACATTTATATTGTAGTAAGGTTAGAAGAAAAATATTTTCAGTTTGTTTTTTAACACTATTTCCATGAATTAAAAAATGAATATGGAAGGTATTTAAAGTGATAGAGTTGTTCATTCATATATAATACTCTTACAGATAGGGAAAAAGGGTTATTGACATGGAAGAGGGGAAAAGGAGAAGTGTGAACTATCCAGCATTCGTTCAAACTCCTAAGCCTGGTCAGAAGATAAATAAATATCTGTATGACTCTAACAAACCAGTTAATACTGATGGAAGTCAGAAAGGAAAACAACAGTACAGAGTTGATCAAAGTAGGGTTACGGTCATATAGTAAATGCTCCAATGAAAAGGAGAACCTTATAAAAGGATTTGAAAAAGACAAAGAAAAGCTGACAGTGATGCAGTGCTAGTCCCCACTGTATTCACCTGAATCCTAAATTCTTTAGTCCTTGCTTTAATTACCATGTTCCAGAATGTGAAATCAGACAGTCATCCTATTTATGTCATCTACAGGTCTTGTTTAGACAAGAAGGTCATAGCAACAGCCAAGTCATTGAAACACAGAAAACGTCTGCAGTGGTGCTTCTCCCTGATGTAGGTGTCTACATCATAGAGGTCCGTGCAGTCAGCGAAGGAGGAGATGGAACACCCAGCTCCCAAATTAGAGTACCGTCTTTCTCAGGTAAAGTATTTCTGATAATAAAAAATGGACCACATAGTTATTGCATTCCAACTCCACTAACATTGTTACACTGCAGTGGAAGCTCATAAAATTGAATAAAGGCATGTATTCTTATCAGTGGCCAATTCCCGAGATGTTGAAAGATATCCAATAGAGTACCTGTGGGGCATAAATCTTTCCAAGTGTATTTAGCTATCACTTCTATCAACACTGTTTCAGCAAGAAGCACCCAGGGCAGAAAACAGAAAGCTTCCTACCAAGGTAAAGGCAGCCTTTACATTCACTTCCCTGGATATAGTTAGCATTGGAGCTGAATTTTTCTTACATAGTTTTTGCAGGTGAGGAGAACATCCATCAATTTTGTTTAACTTGTTCCAGCTTTCATATTTCACTGTCTTGCATTGTTTCAGGGCTTTGCATCACTTTGCCAATTAAGGGATTGCTTGGTTGAAATAGGAAACACGTTGGCTGTGTTTTGACTAACAAGAAAGCACAGTGTTGAGTTAACCATGCTGTTGCAAAGTGACTTTCCATATCAGTGTGATTTGGCATTGTTTGTCAACTACAGAGTGTCATGCTGAGACATGTCACACTGAAAAATGTCACACTGAGAGAAATCTTTGCAGGGTGAGATTCACTCAGACCAATAATTGAATCCGTATTCCTGGCAGTCATGGTGGTAGTAGGTAATAGAGCCACATTCCTTATTTCCTTCCAATATGGGTGCTGGCTCGGGGATTGGCAAAGAGGGGCATACATAGCTAATCATTCTCTGTCCTGGTGTAGCTATAGAAAGACAAAATGAGGACCGTGACAATAAGTCAATGTCCTCATTTAAATGTTAATAGACAATTGAAGGAAAGGAATTGAATGGTAAATTTTATATGAAATATGTGGGTTATATCTTTGTAGGTGAATGGTAAATTTCTTATATGAAATATGTGAGTTATATCTTTGTAGGTGAATGGTAAATTTCTTATATGAAATTTACCTTTAGTCCCCAAATTTCCCATGTTGCACACACTAACAGACTAGAAATCTTTGAATGCCAGGACTGTATTTTTAAATGTTCAATTGAGTTTCTGCAATGCTAAAAATTTGGGGAGTAAATGTGTCTTGGGAGAATGAGAACACTGACTTCCCTTCAGCTACACCTCTGAACTCAAGGAGTTCCACATATTTCATGAGGGATGCTGTTAACAGTCATATCAAATCAACACTGTTTCCTCAATTAGTCACAGAGGTGATCCCAATAATTTGACTATATGCTGATCGCATTGAGATTCAAATGAGCATGTATTTCTTCATTAAGCAACTATTCTTTCCTTTTTGAATGCCTGGGAGGCAAAATGGCAAATGCAACAGCCAGGGGTGGCTGGCTCCCTAAGGAAGTACTAGCACTTTCCCTTCTGTTTAGAATAATCCTCCATTTATCAACACGTCATGTCAACATTCATAATATTGCCCCAAAATCTGTCCTGATTTATACATAGGTTGATTTATATGGTACATTATATGGTAGGTTGGAAGGGAGACTCTGAGCACTGTGGCCAACCTTTGCAGTTTTCCCCAAAATGGCATCTGCACATGCACACACATGCACCCGTATTCTTACCAATGAATACATTTTCAAAAAGTTGCACATTTTTAAAATTAACTCCCCAAATGGAAAGGGGTTTGTTTTGTTTTGTTTTGTTTTGCAAGCTCATTCCTCCCAAAACACCCACAAAAGTACTGCAGACAAAACAGACAGGTAGCGAAGGCAAGGAATTAATGGAAACCAACCAGGGTCATGGTTTTTGACTTGGAGGTCTAACTTAAACTATATTAGCAGCTATGGTATATGTCTCCTCCAGCAGCAATGTCCTCAGAAATACCACAGGTCAAACTTGGACGGGCATGGAGAGAAGCTATTCAACTATTTAATAACTCCATTCAGTTCCTTTCCTTCAATCATCTATTAACATTTCATGATCACTGAGCTTGCATAGGTTCATTGGGCTTTTAATTTCTGGGTTCCTATTTTAGTGTGTATTTTTTCATGTACTTCCTTACCCAGTTGGACTCTGCCATGTGATATAGAAATGCCAGTCAGAATCTATAGATGAGTTATGTCTTTGTAAGTGTATTTCCACATACAAGAATTAGAATTGGTCAGTTTCATAATGCCTGTATTCAGCAGAAGACTGCTGTTACATTACTACAGTGGTGTCCAACCTTTGGTCCTCCCGGAGTTTAGCTCCCAGAATTCCTAAACATTGAACAATCTGGTCAGGACCTCTGGGAGTTGGAGTCCCAAACACCTGGAGAACCAAAACTTGGACATCAACAGTATTATTACATAGTAGTAATGGCCTCTACAGTCACCTATGGACCCACCGTCAAGACCGTACACTTGGAAGGCAATCACACAAGGGATTGCTGATGATGTTGACTACATAGCAGAATTGTCAAAATGTCCAATGCTTGTTACACACCATTTTAACAGTGACCCAATCCACAACTTCAGAATTCACTAGCAGCAGGTTTAATTAAAGCATCCACTGCTTATGTAAACATACATTATGTAAAAGGTGTTATAGGATTCTGTCACCCCATATGGCTACATAAGCAACAGCACTGACAGCTTAAACATAAGTAAGAAAATTGCATTTCTGAATGGATGAATGTTACCTTGCTAGTTTGGACTGACCTGCAGCTCCAAATAGCAGACTGCCTACAAGTGCTAATTTAAAAAGAAAGGATGGCACAGTGCATTGTTTATGTTTGCATTGATTAGCTATAATTAGTATGAGTGGTTAATAAGATTGCAAAGGACAGGCATTGCAAATTTTAAAAGGCAGGTTATTTGCTCTTGGGATTTCTTACCAAATAGAAAGTTAATTGTATTTTTGTACCTTGACTTAGCAGAGGCATTCAACTTGAAAACAAATTCTGACCTGTTGCAAGCAAAACAAACCTTACCGTTGTTGTTGTTTTTTTCAAAGAGCCCCTTGTGACCCCATAGTTATTTTGCAGTTTCTGTTTTGTCTATTTCAGGTGGGAAAGTCACAAGTTCTCAGTCAAGCCTACATACTTTCTCCACATCTTCATCAACTGTGACATTTCTCTTGGTACTGATGGTTCCTTCAACCTCATGGTGAAGAAGAACTCTGTGGACCTTTTCTCGTTCATCTGTTCAATTGCTTTAGGCCAGTGACACCAAGGAGTGGAGCTCTGCGTCCATGGGAGAGAAAGAACACCCACTGGTCAACAACACCTAGAAATGCCTACAGTGTGCCAGGAAGAGTGTTGTGGGTGAAAAATAATGTTAACATAATTCATCAGGTTTCTTCTTTTCAATTTTGTACTAGTCCTCTTTGGGAGAGAGGGGATGTTTATTGCCCAACAGAAAATATGCAGATTGTATGAGATGACCTTTTATAAACAAATGAAATTCCTGTCAAATTATATTTGCTTTCCTTATATATGTTTATAAATTAGCTGACACCCGTCTTGTGTCATTAGTAGTTTGAACTGTGATGTCTAGTACAGTACATCGATTTTGTTTGAGTTGTCACGGATTTGTTTTCTTTAAAAAGGAAGAAACCGATGAACATTTGCAGTCTAGTGGGTCACCACCATCTTCTCCCTTCTTCTTTTTTTGTATTTTCTTTTTCAAATTGACAGAGCAGGATAACAAACTTTTCATCATAATTACTGTAGCAAATGTCTTTTAAAAAAAGAATGGTAAATCAAATTGGCAAATTATGGTAATTTCTGTTACTTTTCCTCTGTTTTGTTTATATTTTCTGGGCATATAATGATCCACTTTTCACTACATGTTACATTTGAAGCAGTTGAATGGAGAAGGGTCAGACCTATTGTTTTGCCTCAGATATTATCCACTTTAACAATTGATGGAGAAATGTTTTATTTTTAATAGCAAGAATAATGCTGATTGAGAATGCAAATGGCAATGAAACTATAATCAGATACTTCAACAAACCCTCCAGTTAGTGCAAACTGGTGGAAGGAGAAAATGAATGCAAAGAGACAAAGCTGTTAACCCCAAACAGCTTTCAGTCTTTAGACCTTTATTTTTTTAGTCCATTTTTGTATGGTACTGTACTGTCTATATTTGGTGATTAAATTAAACGATATCAAGAAGCATATTAAGATTGGAACAAGATCATGGTGACCAGATTGTTGTCAACAAAATACAGAACCAATCAAATTCTCAATCTCAAATCCACTGGAATAGCTACTGCTAGGCAATGTTTCCCACCATCACCTTTAGCTTTTCCAGATCCATATCTTATTTTCAAGTTCAACCTGCAACAGTTTTATGTCTTCTTTTGTTTGTAATATGAAATACTATTTTCTCATTCATTCATACAGTGATCTATCCATTTTTTCTTTACCCCACTTCCTATTTTAATCTTTTTATTCCCTAACTAAATGGTAACAGCACATTTGTCTGATTCATATTGGATATTAAGTGAGCTATCCATTCAGGCACACTTCATCATCTGAAGATCAGGGCACAAATTATTATGCTGCATCCACATGAATACTCATTGCAATGCTTGGACTACTGGAAGAGTGAGGGGGCTTCCTCACATGGCAGATATTATGGGGCAGAAAGCAGACAGAGCTATCTGTCCTGAATCGTATACCCTTCTTCTATTATCTGCAGGTGAAATTGATTTGTTACTTTCAGCGGAAGTGGGAATGTTGTGCCATGTCCAGATTCAATTGCCAGTCTGATCCATTTTTGCACCCAGAATGGCAGAAGATACTATCTTATAATTTGTCCGACAGCTCAAAATTACCATAGCTTGGACTAGAGCTTGGCTACCAATTCTAGTCCCAAAGGCATTTTTCAGCAATTAAGTGTCTATTTATTAATAGAATGGAACACTGAGAGAGAGAGAGAGAGAGAGAGAGAGAGAGAGAGAGAGAATATGTTTCTATTGCTAGAGGCCTTTTGTGGAAGGAGCAGCCAAATCAAAATCTTTCTATTTGTTGGGTGCACAATATATGTACCAGTGCATTTTATCATAGTGACTGAGGATAATGCATATTACAGAGAATCATACCAAATGTCAGGGCTGGTGCTACTGTTAGGCAAAACAAGGCTGCTGCCTCAGGTGACCGATGTTAGGTGTCATGTTAAAGCCAGTTGAATGTTCCTTATTTAAGTTATGATTGTATGTTATGACAAAGGGGGAAACAATTGCATTTCAGATTTTTAGCCTCAGATTTCAGGAAAAAAATGACTTTCCTTTGGTGTTATCCACTTTGACTTGATGAAGGAGGAGAGAAAGGGAAACATGGCAGCTAAAAGTCTTAGATTAGTCCTGCCCAGGCTTCAAATTATATATCTCAAAGAAATCATTGTTCATCTGAATATTGGATCTATAGCACTGGATATATACACTTGCTACTTTGAAGACAAACTTCAAATACATTGCTTAGCACCTAGGAAGTCACTTAAGCGAAGAAAAAGTGTTTAGCATATAAAGTGTAAAATTTGTGTTAAGAGCTCAGATCACAGTTTCCAAGCATTCTTTCACTGTCCAACCCAATAAGGCCAACTCTCAAAGCAGTTGAATGAATTTCCTTTATGTTGATCTCTGATTTTACATTTATATGCACATTGCTTCCTTTGAAAGGGAGGAAATGTTTGAATACTTTCACCATTGTGAAACTGAAAAAAAGGCTATCTTGAGTGCTGCAGATTTCAGAGGTAAGATAAAGGCACCCTCTAAGTCCCCCCTTTTAAGGAACATAAACAGTTAGTCTAAATAAGTAGAAGCTTACCGAATCTATTGAATAAAATATGAATTAACTTTTATCTTATTGCTGCAAGATGCACTGAGGTTGGTGTACAAGAAGAAAGAATGCAAAGTTACAATGACAATGGGCAAAATCCCTTACTTGGCAAGTGAAAAGAAACAGTAGAATTCTCATTGCCTAGGAAAAATATGACAGGATTGTCCCTTTCCTGGCTGGGAAAAGTGCAAGTCATAACATATAATGATTTGACATCCCATATTCAGAAACCACCAAAAACATGACTACAGAATGTGATAGCTAAAATGTGGTTGAAAACAACCATTTCAGAACCTTTCCTGAAGACTTTATGGTCCAATCAAATGTTGCGATGATTTCTTGAATTAGATGTGCCCAACCTTTCTGTTGCCCACTCATCCCATTGCTACAGACAAATTCACAAAATCATGCAATGAGTTGGAATGGCCCTGGTGACACTATCAGAAGCCTCATATAATAACTCCATCTAGTCTGACCACTTCAACATTTCCCAAATGCGTTACCTAACAAGAAAGAAACATAGATCCACTTAAGATTTACTTATGCTAATTTATATGTAAAGATGTGCAGTCATAAAAGCCTGTATCCTACTGTTAGTCCTGACTCAATTCAACAGATGTATGCAGTCAATGAGATAAGCCTATGCATTGACTTACCATTCAACATCTGATTGTCTGTCTAGTCTCATTGAAATAAACTAATAATATTTAGGCCATTTAGTACACTTAGGGCCTAAATACCCTAAAGACACCAGATCCTGTTTGATCTAATATATACAATGTATATATACTTAATATACAGTAGATGACAGCACAGTGAGGAAGAGTATAGGGACAGCACAGTGAGAAAGCATATAGGGACAGAAAAATATTTGAAAATACATCAACAGTTGAAAGAAAGGTTTCCTAAGCGTAAAGAAATGCTGGAAAGGGTTTTCATCACACTGAGAAGCTTTGCATGTCAGAACTCTGCAAAAACCCCATATGTGTGGTGCTTTTGTACATAAACTGTATTTGCTGTGCATAAAGTTGCATTTTCTCTGTACGAATCCAACTTTCTGCACAGAAAGCAAGGCTCTATGTGCAGAAGAAACAGTTTGCTACACACACACAAAAGTGGGTATTTTTGCACAGAAAACTCCTTAACTTCATATAGTCTCAAAATGGTATCAATTTCAAGGACTTTCTAAGAATAGGAAGGAAATTGACAAAATGACTCACGCCTTCCTTTGGAAATACAATGAGCAAATATTAGTATCCCATAATATATGACTACCCGTTTGCTCCCCAGGTGTTAAATTTAGATTGGTAGTCTTAGGACCTAAAGCCTAAAAGAGAGTTATAAAGCAGAACACATGGTCATTCAAAGTGTACCTGCTGTCATTTTGAAGCATCAAGTGACAAAGGTGTCAGGAGAAAACAGGGACAAAGACTCCAGAGTACACTTCAGTCAGGAAGTCCTTTAATATGTCTTCACTGATTAAATTAATGATTTGTAGATGTTCTCTTCATCTGCCTATTGTTGTTTCAAAATACATTCTCTAATTAATTAGATTAGGACAGGGTGAATATTCCTACCACTTCTACATGCTTTCACCTCCTGCCACTCCCTAGGTTTTGAACAATGGTAGCCAATCATCAAAGCAACATGGCTTATTATTGTCTTCTATAGAGAGTGAGGATTTACTAAGCCCCTATCTACATGTCTTACAGTCCCTGGTAGTGCCATAAATAAAATGGCAAGCATACCTCAACTTTTAATTAGGTTATAGATCTTAATAGGAAAGGTAATGTAGTGCAGTGGTTTGGCTATTTTACTATAACTCTGGGGATCAATGCTCCAGTCCTTGCTGAACCATGGAGACCCATTGGCTGATCTTTGACAAGTCACAGTCTGCCACTCTCAAAGGCAAACAATGGCAAACTACCTCTGAAAAAACCTTGCCAAGAAAACCCCAGGCTAGGACTGCTTTAGGCTTGCCATATGTCACCATAAGTCCGAAATGGCTTGAAGGCACACAACAACAGTTTTAACGGCCAAACGTTCACTAACTGTGTTGACCCAACATTATGTTAAGTGGCAATGAATGGATGCAGGGTCAACATCATGTTAAGTAGCAGTGAACAGATGCAAGCTGGTACCTTTTTTATTCAATCTGTGCAAATGTTGTACCTTGCTTCTAATAAACATTTATAAATGTTTAAGTACCTACACATTGCCATATTTGTTTCTTTGTGGTTGATAACATGTTGATAACATGTCCATCTCATGACAACTATCTGATGTTATTGTTTTAAAGGATTTGAGTGTTGCTGCAGAAGTCTTTCCTTGTTTGTTTTCATTTTCTCTCATTGAGATTGTAACAGATTAATTCAAAAGACTGTATTTTTGTATAATGTCATGATGATTTTAAAAGTGAGCAGGAAAAAATAGAACAACAACCTCGGTTCAGAAACCAAAATGAAGTCCCATCTTAAAATGTGAGATATCTTGTATACAACTGTATATATTTACTATATATAATGGTATATACTATGTGAAAGACACAGTTCAATACTGGTTCCTGTCTACTGTTCTTGTAACATTAGATCTTTTTAATAAATTATTCTCTTTTTATTGACTTTTATCTTATGTCCTGTCAGGTGCTAAATGCTATGATTTTACGACACTATTCCCAGAACACTTGTAAATGGAGATGGAGCCTTAAAACAGGGGAAATAAACACTGAAGGTGTGAATTTCTTAGTTCAGTATCCCAGATACTTTTCTGCAGGGACACAGAACCTGAGGGCTTCCTCATTCTTTTTGCCTAAGGCAACTGTTTTTCACATGAGCTTTTCTGCAAATCTCAAACATGGTATTAACTTGCTTCAAAATAGCTACGGTAGTGCGAGGAGATGAAATGTATCAGATTTACTGATTTGAAAGAGATCAGCAAGATTTTTACACTAATGGTTGCCTGGCCTGAAATAAAATGTCAGTACCGTATCACATCCACATGCTGCTGCAGTGGCAAGTTTAAACCCTGGACAGGCATCGTACATACCCTTAAGGTGCAAGATCCTCTTTGATCTTGGATGTTCAGTTCTTCTTTGTGCTTGGATGGGAAACCACTAATGAATTCCATGCTCAGTAGACTCTATTTCAGAGGAAGGAACTGGCAAAGCTACCACTGAGTAACCTATGAAATTCATATATCAACTGGTAACTTGAAAAAAAAAGATACACACTGGCAGCATACACACCCAAGAAGTGGCAGTGATTGCTACTTTGTCAATAGATAATGAGTCATCTCTGGTTGTAAGTTCAAACTTTAGAGACACTATGCAAGGTTCTGGACTTGTTTTTTAGATCAACAAAGGAGCTTGGATAACTTCTTCATAATTCACAATCAAACTATCTTGCGGAAAGCATTGCTGCTTTTGGACATGACCAGTTGCCACCTTGAACTAGGCAGAAGTATCATTTCCAGGCATAGCCAAGACATTTCCCCTGGATGGCATTTAAATATCAGAACTGATAGAAGAATAAACAGAAATAGAGCATCCTGGTACTCAAAACAAATCCCTTTATAAGCTTTATGTTCATGTTCTTTCTGCATCAGGTTAAAATTACTGAGTCTAGATATTTTAGTGACAGGCCACTGCAAAAGATCTTTCCGATTACTAATTCCCCCAGTCAGCACAGTCAAGGGATGTGCTTGTTGGGAAATTTTCCAAAAAGTAAAAAAAAAAACTTCATGTTAATCCTAAAAGAAGCAGTGGATTCATTCTTCTCATCTTTGGATGTAGCCACTTGAACAGGATCCTTCCAAGTTAGCAGATATTTTCACCCTATAAGAAGATTGGTAAAAAAATAAAGCTCATACAGCCTTCAGAGTTCAGGTAAGTTCAGGAGGACACTTAGTCAATACAGTAAAAGGAAATGCTACCTCTGCAAAAACAAAAGTGGGGGAACATACACAAGCATAAGAAGAAATTACATGTGTGTATGCCATGAACAGAATGCCACTGACCCAGTTTAGTCATTTTGGTTTCTGGGGAGAGTTGACACATTGCATCTGAATCTGCTAGACATTGCATCTGCTGCTTCAGATGCGACTACTAAATTGAAGCTGATAATCTTAAGGAGAATCTCACCTCAAAAGTGGCCAGATAATGTTGCTACTATGTGAAGCTACCTATCCTCAACTGCAAAAATGCCGTTTCCACATTTGAGACTGTGCTGTTGCACACTGGGCCTGAAATAATGTCTGTTTACAGGACGTGTCTTCTGTATGCCCATCGGGATGCCGAGGTGCCTCCGCTGAAGGGCCCCTTAGATTTCCCAACACAAAGTTCTATTGAGGCTCAAAATAAGTTCAACAAAGTTCTTTATTTGGGCTTAAATCTTCAAAAAAATGAATTAAATGCTTTATAACCTTGGAAAACTGGTAGCTTCCTCAATCTGCTATCAAGGGCAGGCAACTGGTGGTAAACTGTTCCTTTCTTCCTTAGGGAAATCTTCTGACCCCTCCCTGGGCAATCTTTCTCTACTTTGCTGGCGTGAGGCCCCTACTCCCGGCTCCAAGCTACTTTATGGATAGCCCGAGTGGTCCCTTACCAGACAATGGTTGCTGTAGATCTGCCAAGCCAAAAGGTGTCCTTTAGCTTTACTCCACGAGGGCTGTAGGAACTGTCCTGTTGCCCAAGCAAAGGCTGGCTGTATTCCCCCAGCAAAAGCTGTGGAACTATCTTTTTACTCCCCCAGCAGAGCTGTGAGAAGTGAAGCTTTTATGCAGGTAGGAAAGAGAATCCCGCATGTCCTGCTGCTAGGCTTCAAACAGTGAGACTGAACAAAAGTCCTCCTTTGCCTCCAAAACCCTGGGAAAAGGGGTGGGCCTAAAGACTCTAACGATGATTGCCAGGTTGCTGGCCCTATGACTGCAACTTGGGGAAGCTACCTGATTGCAAAAAGCATGGCTTAAATAAATTCATACAAACTAGTAGTGCAATGCCAGCACAGAGACACATGAAAGATTCGATCCTATGTAGCTCAGAGTAGCATGTTAATTCTGTCCACAGACCTAAGAATCATAGAATCAAAGAGTTGGAAGAGACCTCATGGGCCATCCAGTCCAACCCCCTGCCAAGAAGCAGGAAAATTGCATTCAAAGCACCCCCGACAGATGGCCATCCAGTCTCTGTTTAAAAGCTTCCAAAGAAGGATCCTCTACCACACTCCAGGGCAGAGAGTTCCACTGCTGAACAGCTCTCACAGTCAGGAAGTTCTTCCTAATGTTCAGATGGAATCTCCTTTCTTGTAGTTTGAAGATAGACTGAACCATATAATATTCATCCAAACTTACCATATATCCCTGAAGCCTCACCCTTGGGCTGCTCTGAGTTTTGTGGAGAAAAACATCTGCCTATGCCATTATTGCTAGATGTAAAACGATTACATCAGTGACAAGACCTCTAAATACCCTATTGGATATCAGTGCTGCTGTAATAATTTCATATCTGATTACAGGGCTTATTCCATTGGATAGATCACATCAGCTCTAGTTTCTGATATGAAACATATGCCATCCAGTAGTCGCCATCTGCTCATCTACAGAAAACCATATTGAATCACCTAGAGTTGATGTGGTCTATCCAATGCAATTTTCTGAATCATACCCAAATAACCTCAGGAATACACCAAGGTTCCCCCACTTCCAGGCGCCACATGTAATGGCTCTGCTCAGGGGGAAGGAGGAGGAGGAGAAGCAGCAGGCAAGAGGCTTGTTGTCATGCCTTTCATGGGTAGTCAGCCTCTCCTCTCCCGACACCCTTGTTGCCTCAGCACTATAAGAAGGTTTCGCAAGACCGGTTTCTCTCATTGCAATGGTATAGTCACAGTGAGGCCGTGAATCATATTTTAGTTCTTATGGATCACTGGTTGTTCATGGGCCACAGATTAGGATCCACTGGTCTAGCTGGAAGTATTTCAGAAACATTGGCATTGCTAGAATAGCAGGAAAATTGAGACATTAAGCTAGGGAATAATGGATTGGTCCTACATGAACCAATCCTATGTTGCTCTGTGTGTGCCTGCAAAAGACAAGGTAAACAACAACTGGCTTGATTGCATGCATGAACAGCAAAACAAAGAAAAGAGGGAAATCAGATTAGCTTGTCTCTGCAGCATCTTAAAAATGGATAAAGTTGCCCAAAATGGAAGCCATAAGAAGAGCGCAGACTCACAGAAGAAGGATGGATTCCATAAGAAGTCTTCAAACCATGTCCAGAAAGTTAATAATGTTTTGTTTGTCTATGCAAGGCTTACCTGACCTAGTTTTTTAAATTTCAGATGTGCATTTGGTTGGTCGGAATAAAAGTTTGATGAAATATGTTTGATTTATTTTTATAGTATAGAATCATTTTCCTATTCTTTTCATGTTTCTTCCGACTCTGGTATCATTTTTTGTTGTAGATGTAATATCCAGGAACACATCTATATTGTTAATGGAGGTAGTCCCATATTGATTAATCTTTAGTCTTATGCCTTGCTTTTGGAATGAGACCTCCCACACTAAAACCTTTGTAGAGCTTTGGAAGACCTCGGTTACACACTGACACCTTGTCTTTTGACTTTTAACAATTTGACTTGGATGGGAACTTTTATTAGAACTCATAACTTTTTTATGGCAAATATATTGATAAAGGTTCATGACTTTGCAATATGAGGCCAAGATTTTTTAAAAAAAATCCTTTCTGCTCAAGAAATAAAAATAGATTGTTACTGTAGGCATTTCAACTGAGATTTCAATTACAAAATGACTGTTGCTTAAGTAGCATATTACACAAGGCCTTCTAGTAAATTAGCTATGAATGTCACAGAAGGCTATAATGACCCGTTCTTTTGCTGATGCAGACAACAACATATATTGAAAATCCATAAGCTAATCAATCTGCAATCCATTCTCATTCTTTTATTACTATCATCACCACTCTTGTGAAGATGAAATACATTTCCTTCCTTAATTACTAACTAGGACATTTTCTATGTTAAGAAAAGGGAGAGTGGACTCAATGTTAGCCAAACTTTTGCTTGTGTTTCTGGAACAAAGCTTTTCATTCTCACTAAACAAACAAACCTACTCACCATGTATTGGAGCTATGTATGTTTTGGAAAATGTGAAAGACAGTAGTAAATCTCTCCAATAGACTAATCAAGGTGGCAAGGCAGAAGTTGAAGAACAACCATAGAATCAGAATCCTAGAGTTGGAAGAGACCCCATGGACCATCCAGTCCAACCCCATTTGGCCAAGAAGCAGGAAAATCACATTTAAACCAGCCTCACAATCAATCATACACATACAAAAAAACCTAGGGCGCACCTACATTATAGAATTGATGCAGTTTGACATCACTTTAACTGTCATGGCTCAATGCTATGGAGCCACAGGAGTTGTTGTTTGGTGAGCACAAACCCTCTTTGGCAGAGAAGGCTAAACACCTTGTAAAGCTAAAACTCCCATGAAACCATAGCATTGAGGCATTGCAGTTAAAGTTGAATCAAACCACTCATTCCACATTGTGGATGCAATACAGAAAAAAGACCTTCATTTGTAAAAACATATAAAGATAGCTTTTC